AAAAGGAAGCACTGCATGGCCCCATTGCAGCAAGGGCAGCGGGAGCAAGGTTAAAGCCGCTCTGTATTATCTTCCCCTTCCCACGTGCCTTGCAGCAGAGTTAATCGCATTTTCACTCAGGGGAGTTTTCATCACAGGCGCTTTAGGGGAGCTCTCAAACAGCAGGGCTGTGCTGATCCGTCAAGTGGTAATTTATGCAAAAATAAAGAAGAAATTACAAGATTTTTGAATGAGGGGCAGTTAAATACCCGTACGGACCAAAATAAGGATGAGAGCAAGAAGGGGAGCGTGCGGCTCGGTGACTAGAGCCTCCTTCGCCCAGGCCCACAGCACGCTGGCTATAGGGCCAAAGTTACACCTGGGAGGGGGGGCTAATGTCCCTGCAGCCCCTCTCAGGGGCCTCATTGAGACGCTCATAATCCCCTTTTGGGGGTTAGATGACAATTTTTATTTACATCAGCGCTTAAACGGCTGGAGGGTGGCCTGCATCTTGTCCATGATGCTTACAGGAGTGGCACTGAAGGGATTAGGTCGTTGAGAGCATATTTACAGGCTGTATTTGGGGACTCGGACCCTGGGAGCATCTGAAGTGGCCTAAGGGCATTAGGGCACCTGTCTTGGGTGAAGGGGTAGAGCTCAATCTCCAAAAGGGAGCAGGTGCAAACTTGTATGCGTCCCTGTTTTATTTTTAAGGAACCTGGACGAATTAGAATGTGTTGGTCATCTGACAAAATAAAGATTTGGTAAACATTTTTCTTTCTGAATGATTCATAAGAAGAAGCAACACGTAAGGAGAGAGAGAGAGAACTTAGTGATTTTAGGGTGAAAATGGGAAACAGTATAGTGGGGGGAATTTGAGAAACCCATAAACCACACGTGCTGTTGGCAGTTTTATCTCCAGTTGTCAGTTTGATGCCAGGTTAAGCCTCAGTGGGTGGTGAAAGCAATAACTCCAGGAGCAATGAGGAACTTCAACAAGCAAAGTAACTGGAAACGCAAACAGATCATTCAGCCAAAACATGTCACGAGGACAGCCTGAACTGCTGACTGTGAGTGGTGGGGGGGGGGCATCACGCCACCCTACCAGCATCACTAGGGTGCCGGCAGGCTCCCCTGTATGTGATGGGGGCATGTTCCCACTCCCCCCGACCGCGCTTGGTCCTGTGGGGTCCTAGAGTGCCGTAAATGCTGAGCTAGGACAGGTTGCAGGAGAGCAGGAGCAGCCCCGGGGTGGGGGGAAGCCTGAGGTCAGAGAGACCAGGACGCTCAGCTCAGTGCCCTTGCTGAGAACTAGCTGATCCCACTGGCTGGGAAGGAAGGGAGATTAGTGAGCAAGCCCTGGAGAGGCGAGTGGAGAGCTCTGCACCACGGCACAGCCAGGTCCCAGCTGCGGCCCCGCTTCCCAGGGGCTCTGCAGAGGTGCTCTTTCTGGCGCTGGTCCCCGAGGACTGCCAGGGCTGTGATATTTACCTTTCTTCCTTTCTGCTGAAGGTTAATCTCATAAAGACCCTGCACTTTCCTGGGCATCTGCCTGGACCCTGCAGAACATCTCATCCTCATTGGACACATGCTGACATTTCATCTCTTCAGAGTTGCCCACGGTCACGAACAGGCCTTGGCTACAACTGCAGTCTCCTCTTCCTTGTCTGCCAGTGCTCTAGCATGAGTTGAGGTTACTGCTTCCCGTCTGTCATTGAATTCAGGGAGCCGCTCAAAGGAGTGTTGGTATCGGGTAGTGCTTCCAGATTTTGGTGTGCGCGTGTTCTGTGATGCTCCATTCATTTTTCCCTTGCTCAGTAAAGAAATAAGCTGGTACGCCTGGGTTATTACCTCAAATCCTCTCCAGGGAAAGCAGGATGGGAGCAGAAAGTTTAGTTTGGTATAACACATGATTGCAAAGAGGATTATGTTTCGTGAAAAGAAATACATTCCTGCGTTGGTAAAGGGGGGGATTAACTAGATCTGAAACTTGATGTGGCTGTCTGGAGATAAGTCTCCCCTAAAACGGGGCCCAGGCGCGCTGACAAGATGTACGCGTGGACCAGCGTTCAGTTTTCTGGAGAAGGTTAGACCCAGGCTCTAGCGTAAATGGGCTCAGAAAGGGGTTAGATCATTCCTGGAGGATGGATACCCTGGTGGCTTTTAAACACAAAAGTCTGGATGCAGCCTGCTGCTCAGCCTCCAGCGGCTCTGACCCCTGGAGAAAGTAATCAAAGTAGAGCAGAGCAGAGCAGAGCAGCATTTGACTACCAAGGCCCGACAGGAGGAGTTTACACCCACAGCAGAACTCAGTCAGGCACAGGAGATCCCAGATAACGGTGCTGAAATGCAAGCTTGTAAAGGGACACTCCAATTTCTTTCTCTCCATGTCCTTCTTCAGCTTTCGTCTCTATTCCTTCTAGCAGAGCAGCTGCTATGTGCCACGTGGTACCAGCCCTAAACTCCCTTGACAAATACTCACTGCAGGTGTTTTCTGTTCTCTCTCAGAATATGTTTGGCCATGTGTTGTGCATTTCCACATTT